CACTTCATGGTGAATAACAAAAAATAAAGAATTAAAAAAAAAGCAAAAAAACAAAAGAAGGAAGGTATGAAGAAGAGGATAAATGTCTAGCTGATTGCCTCAATTAATATTTTTGTTCAGTATTTACAGATGAAAATAAAGGAAAGGGGCCTCAGTTAGGAAAAGGGACAAATGAGTCATTTGTTACATGTGAGTTTACAGATGAAGAGGTTCTGGTTCCACTGTCAAAAGTAAAGACAAATAAGTCGATGGGGCCTGATACGATACACCCAAACTTATTAAAAGAACTGTGTACTAGCAAAACCATTAACGGAGTTATTTAACAAATCATTGTTAAGCGGAGTAGTCCCAGAAGATTGGAAATTAGCAAATGTTGTACCCATTCACTAGAAAGGTAGTAGGAAGCAGTCGGGCAACTATAGGTCAGCAAGCCTTTCTTCAGTAGTGGGGAAAGTGAGGAAACCATGTTAAAGGATAGGATTGTTGAACATCTAAAATCACATGGATTTTAGGACCAGAGACAACTTTGGTTTACTTCGGGGAGATCATGCCAAACTAATCTTATTGATTTTTTTAATTGGGTAACTAAAATAATAGATCAGCGTGGTGCAGTAGACATTGCCTACCTAGATTTTAATAAGGCTTTTGACACTGTTCCACATAGAAGGCTCATCAATAAACTGCAATCTTTAAGTTTGGATTCCAATATTGTTGAATGGGTTAGGCAAAGGCTAAATGACAGGGTTGTTGTCAACTGAGTATATTCGAAGCAAGGTCTAGTAACTAGTGGGGTACCTGAGGGATCTGTACTTGGGCCCATTCTCTTTAATATTTTTATTAGTGATATTGCAGAAGGTCTTCAGGTAAGGTATGTCTTTTTGCTGATGATACTAAGATATGTAACAGGGTTGATGTTCCAGGAGGGATAAGCCAAATGGCAAATGATTTAGGTAAACTAGAAAAATGGTCAGATCTGTGGCCACTGACATTTAATGTGGATAAGTGCAAGATAATGCACTTTGGACGTAAACATAAAGGGCAGAGTATAGGACAGTGATGGCGAACCTATGGCACGCGTGCCACAGGTGGCACGCCGAGCCCCCTCTGTGGGCACGCGGCCATAGGTCACCGGAAGGAGGGAGGGTGCGCTCCGCCGGCGCATCCATAAGGTGGCACAAGTGGCCGCCTTAGGGTGCACTGGCCCGGCAGGCGCAAAGCCGGAGTGACCGGCAGGAGGTGAGCGCATAGAGCACAGCGCTCCCTCCTGCCAGGCACTCGGTGTAGCGTGGCCGAGCGCACCGCGGTACAGGAACTTATGTTTCCTGTACCCGGGCGGACGGAAATGAAGTGCTCACAGAGAGAGCACTTCCTGTCCGCCGGGTACAGGAAACATAAGTTCCTGTACCGCGGTGCGCTCGGCCACGCTACAAGGTAGGAGCTCAAGGAGGAAGGAGGGGGGACCTGAGTGGGAGAGCCATGGGAGGAGGGGAGGAACTGGAGCCAAGTGGGGGAACTGAGGGAGAGCCATGGGGGGAGGAGACATGGGGAAACTGAGGAGAGCCATGGGGGAAACTGAGTGGGAGAGAGATGGGGGGAACTGAGTGGGAGAGAGATGGGGGGGCTAAACTGAGTGGGAGAGAGATGGGGGGGCTAAACTGAGTGGGAGAGAGATGGGAGAGGGGAAACTGAGTGGGAGAGATGGGACGGAAACTGAGGGAGAGATGGGGGGGAACTGAGGGAGGTATAGGGGGAGAAAACTGAGTGTGGGACGGGGGAGAGGGGGGACGACATACACACAGCACCCCTGCCCTACACATATCACCCCACACAAAGACACCCACACATCACATCACCCCACCCACACACACACAACACATACAATGTACCCCTCAATGCAGTGTGTGTACACTCAGCAGTCTGTCTGTGTGTGTACACTCAGCAGTCTGTCTGTGTGTGTACACTCAGCAGTCTGTCTGTGTGTGTGCAGTGTGTGTGTGTACAGCAGTATGTGTGTGTGTGTACTCAGCAGTCTCTGTGTGTGTGTACACTCAGCAGTCTGTGTGTGTGTGTACACTCAGCAGTCTGTGTGTGTGTGTACACTCAGCAGTCTGTGTGTGTGTGTGTACTGTGTGTGTGTGTACTTAGCAGTCTGTGTGTGTGTATTCAGCAGACTGTGTACTCAGCAGTCTGTGTGTGTATTCAGCAGTCTGCTAAATACAGACAGACTGCTAAGTACACAGACAGACTGCTAAGTACACAGACAGACTGCTAAATACACACACAGAGATGTTAATTAGTTCGGACAACTGTATGAGTTGTTTTTTCGAAACTTAAACCTCAGTATTCAGGTTTAAATGCCGTTTTGGCACTTTGAGGGGGAAAAAATTGGCATGTATTACGGTTTGGGCACTCGGGCTCAAAAAGGTTCGCCATCACTGGTATAGGATATTTGATACACTACTAACCTCAACATCTGAGGAAAGGGATTTAGGAGTAATTATTTCAGATGACTTAAAGGTATGAAGACAATGGAATAGAGCAGCTGGAAATGCTAGCAGAATGCTTGGTTGTATAGGGAGAGGTATTAGCAGTAGAAAGAGGGAAGTGCTCATGCCATTGTACAGAACACTTGTGAGCCCTCACTTGGAGTATTGTATGCAGTACTGGAAACTGTATCTTCAGAAGGATATTGATACTCTAGAAACAGTTCAGAGAAGAGCTACCAAGCTGGTTCATGGATAAAACTTACCAGGAAAGGTTAAAGGATCTTAATATGTATAGCTTGGAGGAAAGACGAGACAGGGGGGGATATGATAGAAGCATTTAAATACATAAAGGGAATAAACACATTAAAGGAGGAGACTATATTTAAAAGAAGAAAAACTACCATAACAAGAGGACATAGTCTTGAATTAGAGGGGCAAATGTTTAAAAATATCAGGAAGTATTACTTTACTGATAGGGTAGTGGATGCATGGAATAGCCTTCCAGCTGAAGTGGTAGAGGTTAACACAGTGAGGGAGTTTAAGCATGCGTGGGATAGGCATAAGGTTATCCTAGACTTAAGATAAGGCCAGGGACTAATTAAAAGTATATGAAAATATTGGGCAGACTAGATGGGCCGAATGGTTCTTATCTGCCGTCACATTCTATGTTTCTAACTTTGGAATACTCTAAGCACCAAAACAACTTCAGCCTAATCAAGTCGTTTTGTTGTGTAAATCATGCAACCTGCAGTCTCACTGTACATTTTGCTGCCATTTAGGACTTAAATCACTTTTGTTTCTGTTTATACAGCCCTACTACACCTCCCTTGGCTGTGACTAACACATGAAAAAAATGGTTTCAATCAGTTTTTTTTCTCTTGCTCTATTTGAATTTTAATTACACACAAGGCTTCCTGAGCCCTAACAGGCAATTAACAGCAGGAGATAAGAAATTCTAGATTAAACACACTGCAAAATAGAGGAAGTTTAAAAAGTATATACCTCTTAATAAGAAGTTAGCTGTGTATGCCTGTGTATGCCACAGGCAGGTGAGGTGTTCCTATAGATGCATTAACAAAGTGATTTAACTCCTAATCAGCAAATAATTGAGAGGTGACACTGCAGTGACATGATCTATACATCAAAACAGCTTCATTAAAGGACCACTATAGTGCCAGGAAAACAAACTTGTTTTCTTGGAACTATAGGGTCTATCACTTACCTTTCTCCAGCGCTGGGGAACTCTCCTCCCTCTGCCGACGCATGCATTGAGCTGTGGTCTGGGTGCCTAGAGTGGGCCTTTAAGCTAAAGTTTTGGTGCTTCGAGTGTCCCTGTAAAAAAAACCTTGAGAGCACAAGGATTAAAGGAGCACTGTAGTGCCAAGAAAACAAACTCTTTTTCCTGGCACTTTGTAGTCCTTAGGTCCCACTTACCTTTCTCCAGCGCCGGGCTCCCTCAGCTCTGGGTAACTCTCCTCCTCCTGGCGATGTCAGTGCCGAATGCGCATTCGCGGCAAGAGCTGCGCGCACATTCAAACCGCCCATAGGAAAGCATTGCTCAATGCTTTCCTATGGACTTCAGCGTCTTCTCACTGTGATTTTCACAGTGAGAACTGTGGAAGCGGCCTCTAGTGGTTGTCAGTGAGACAGCCACTAGAGGCTAGATTAACCCTCAGTGTAAACATAGCTGTTTCTATGAAACTTCTGTGTTTTCAGCTGCAGGGTTAAAACTAGAGGGACCTGGCACCCAGACCACTTCATTGAGCTGAAGTGGTCTGGGTGCCTATAGTGGTCCTTAGTTTGTGGTTTGCTTGTGCTATCTTTTTATTTATTATTATTTTAATTTTATTTAGTTAACATTTGCAGTGCCATTTTTACGACACATGTGCTCGCACAGCACCGCTGCAGGAAATCAGAACATATATGCTTGGGTACAAGATTTCTTCATTGGAAGCTCACGTGCGCATGCATGCATGCATGCATTCGAGGAATCATGGGCTGATAAAGTGGAAGTTTTTTCTTACACCTGCTCAATTATTCACCCCAGTAAACACTATAAATTATTTTCAGCGGGTACAAACAAATCCAGTATGCATCCATTTGTTTGTGCATAGATTAAAAGGAATCTGATTCGTTCGAACAAGGTGAAACCAATTTTTGGTCAATTCTAGTAAATGTTGAAATAACATTTATTGGGGTGAAGGAGGGAGCAACTGTCACTTCTTGCAGTTCTGAACACAGTGAATAAACCTTAATGTTTCCAGCTATGCAATTTCATCCTAAATCTTCACCTAAATTAGCAAATTTTCAGATTTTAATAAATCTTTTTTTGTAATCTTAGCTGAAAATGCTATCTGTAATCTGCACTTCCCTTTTTTTTTTTATTTTAATAGAATTTCTCTATTTACGATAGAATGAAACTGGCAATCGCTGTGATGAGGTGGTTTAATAGATAGTACACCGCTATGCAACATACCATGTGCATTGTTTATATAATGACTCCATAGCGGTAGGCGTGACCTGAGTTTAGTTTCGGTTTTGTATTTCCTTGAGTTGGGATTTAGACAGAGAGGGTCAGCACAGCAATGGCACTCACTCGGATACAAACAAAGGCTTACAAGGTTTCTTTTTCAGTCTACTATCCTTTGTTATGTGCGTTTCTGTGAGGGTCTCCTGTGGTTTTACAGTGCGTTCCATTAGCTGGAACGTTATACTTCCGTGTGTTCACAAAGGAGTGATTGTGAATTATTATATTTTTTAATTTAAAGTCTCAAAACGAGGCTTTGATGTATTTTTTTGTTTACTCGTTACAGCCCATGGCTAAACTAGAGGGTCTCGGGAAGATTCATCATGTTACAGCCTCTCAGTCAAACAAAGTAAGTGTTATTTTAGGCCCTGTTGTTTATCTCAGTCCTCCGTATGATTTGGTGATTATAAACAGGTTGCTAATCAGGCTTTCTACCATCATGATTAAAACGGTTTTTGGGTTTTATATTTAATCCGTGCTTTTAATAATCTGTTTACATTTTATTAGCCCTTTAAAGATATAATTCAGTTATATATTTTATACTGATCACATTTAAAAAGCAAACAAACACTTTTTAACTTCCTGTGTTCCTTGCAAAGTATTGGTTATTTTGCAGTGAAGTGTAAACTAATCAGGAAGTACTTGGGCTTTAAAGGGACACTATAGTCATCAGAACAACTACAGTTTATAAGGAAACTAGTGCTAGGAAAACAAAGTTTATTTTTTTTTTTCTTAGCACTATAATGCCCCCTCTAGAGCTACCCTCACCCACACATGGTGCAAAAGAGGGTTAGAAATGTACGCATTTTCATTCATACATACACAGATATAACACATTGACACACACACACACACAACCTGACATGTACGCAAACACACAAATGCACACACTGACGCATACATGCACAGCCTGACATACATATACATACACATATATACACACTGACATACAGAAAATCAACCAACCACTCACTGACACATGCATACACCCTGACACACAGATACTGACATATATACACAAACACTCAGATACATACAAATATCGTGACACATAAATGTATATTTTTTTTATTTATTTTTTTCACTAAACCTCCTGTTCACCTCCCTTTCTTTTCCAGGAGGGTGGTTTGCTTGGAGTCCTGACGATGCTGCTGGTTGAGGGGAGCAGGATCTGTCTGTGGCAGCTCCTGTCTCTTTCCCCCCGATGCTGCCTGTGCCTTTTCATCCAACGCCTCCTCCCTCACTGTGATTGGTAAGTAGCTGGGAGGAAGTGATAGGATATCACTTCCTCCCAGGTAGCAGACTATCACAGGTGCCCAGTTAGGCTCTTAAAGGGCAGTGGTGTCCGATCGATCCCCTGTTAATCAGTGAAGCAATATTACACATCTGGTGGCTCAAATTGCATGGGCCACCAAATGAGCTATCTGAGCCGTCAGGCCCCGGTGCAACCGCAGCAGCTGCACCGACGTTGGTTCCACCACTGGCCTGGGTCACTGCACCCAGACCTCTTCAATGACACCAACAAGGATCAGCATGCCCACCCCCAGTAGGTAATAAGAGGGCGATAGGGAATATAATGTTTTTTTTAATTTTATTTTTATCTTTATTATTAAGCCCCCATCCTCACCTCCATGCACACACTCCTCACTCTCTATACCCCCTATAAACATGTATACTTAACACTCCCTGTACACCCACTATACCCAAACATAGTTGTGTATGTTGAAAAAAAAAAAAATAAGACGAAAGTCCATAAAGTTCAACCTGGAAGCCCATTCTTTTATGCTCTAGATCCAAAAAAAGGCAACTAACCCACTACTTGTAGCTATTTATTTCTAATTGTGGAAAAAAAAAAAGAGAATCCCTCCTGACTTAGTAATTGCAATCATTTCTCCTTGGATCAACAACTTCTTTACACTACATCACATGTATTACAGCATTTACACAAACATACATTACTGCCCCTACATGCACTTTCTACAGCCTACTTTACATACATGCAATCCCTCAAGCAGTCTCCAAACACATACAAAACCACACGCACAGCACTCTTTACCAGCCCTGCCCCACTTTTGTCCGCTGGCATTCTGTTATTGTTATCCCTCTGTTCTTGACTGCAAGACCCTTTTCCTCCCCACCCCATACTTTATGTGGTTGTTTTATCACAGATCTTCTGATGCAGCTCAGTCTTTGCAAGGCATATTCTCTGGGCAATTGTATGCCTCTTGAGTTTAGCTTCATTGATTTAAAGGGATACTATAGTGGCACTATCGTTCCCCCTTCCCAGTAGAAAAAAAATCGATGATGCCTCTCGGCGCTGGGTTGACGCTCCGTTCCTCCAACGTCCTGTGACGAGCGGCACTAATGCGCATGAGCGGCGAGGACTGCTGGCCCGTTAGACTTCCCTATAGGAAAGCATTGAATCTGTGATTTCTTATAGGGAAACATCTGAAGCTGATGCAGAGCGTGAGGACATCCAGCGTCAGATACCGGACCAAAGGTCCTTTTCAATCCAGGAAGTGCCTCCAGGGGCTATCTGGGTGACTGCCGCTGGAGGCAGTCTTAGAGCTGCAATGTAAACATTGCAGTTTCTCTGGAACTGCAGTGTTTTACATTGCAGCACTAAGTGCAAAAGGAACACTGCACCCAGACCATTTCAATGAGCTGAAGTGGTCTGGGTGCCTATAGTGTCCCTTTAAACAAACCAGTAAGTAACAGAACCTGCTGTCTGATTGAAAGCCAATAAAAGTGTCAATTTCTGTCAAAATCTGTACTTCTTGTAATATGAGGAAGCACTCTGTACAGTCTATCAAGCTAAAATACTTTAGGGATCCAGAGTGATCCTTTAATGGGAGTGGGGCACAACAGTCCTCGCCTCCCAGCCTCACTCATGGGTGACGGTTGGGGAACAAGGGGAAATATAGAAGGGCGGAGAAGTTTTGAAGACAATTGGAAGAAGGTGGCCATAATATTGCCTCCCCCACACACCAAACAGTGTTTGTAAGTTCTCCCTTTTCCCCTTGCCCCTAATCAGCCCAAACTGTAGTGGTTCTGGTGACTATACTGTCTGTTTTAAGTTTAAACACCATCAACTCAAAACAAGCACATAGAAATGGGAAACTTTGAGAACAGTAGACGCAGTGGTCAGTCAAAGAAACTTCTTGCGCCAGATGAGACACATTTGTTTATGTCCCTTTGATATTGGAATATGTCCAGCAGTGCATCAGCTCAGAATTGGCCAAAAAAAACTGTGGAGTCCTGGTATACCTGTGTGCTGTCCAGAGAAGTCTGTTCAGAAGTGGTCTTCATGGAAGGCTTGCTTCCAAAAAGCCATACTGCTGATGTATGAGGAGATATGCATAGCTGAGGCCAAGCGATTCAGCTATGCACAAAAACAAATAAACAGGGAAAAATGACGACAGGTGTGCTGGACTGATGAATCAAAGTAATGTTTGACGGCAGCAGAATTCAATGTGTTTTTGCTAAGTGGCAGGAGAGTGGTACAAGTACGAAGATCTACAGGCAATGTTTGTGACTGCATTCAAGCAAATATAGTTGAGGATTTCGTCAGGAATGAATGGTTTCCTCAAAGTACAGGCAGATACTTATCCATCATGCAATACCATCAGTGAATCATCTTATTAGCCACAAAAAACCCTTGAGGGCTTTATTACATCAATAACGGTGTTAGACAATTTCTATAACTAAATTGTGGTTTTTATGTGGTTCATCACCCTTGCAATGCATATCCCTTATTTACATTTTATAATGATGTTACTATGTAACATGAAATGTTTAAGACCTGGTCCTGTGAATTGAACCTTTTTTCTGTCTCTTGTACAGATCAATGATGTCAAAGGGGATCTTTTCAGCTGTCCTTCTACAGACTCCCTTGCCCACTGTATCAGTGCTGACTGTCGTATGGGAGCTGGGATTGCTTTGCAGTTTAAGAAAAGATTCAAAAGAGTTGAAGAACTGAAAAGTCAAAGTAAGTCTTTTTCCAGGAGAGGGGCACAGTGCTGCTTGCTGGAGGTATTAGTTGTACATAAATCTGGTATTTTCCATGTCTTATTGTCAAGTTAAAGGAATCCCTATAGTTTTAAAAACAATAATTAGGTACCTGCCCACCTTTAAAGCGGCACTGTCATGCCGAACTTACCTTTCCTCAATCTCTTCCTCTTCTCCCCCTCTCTCAGGATCTGTTATTCTTTTCTTCCTGTCTTCTTTAGTTTTCTTTAAAATCATAAGACAAAGTAGGGACTCTTTGCCTTATGGAGGATTCCTCCGCTTGACCAGCTCTGACCAGCGGAGGAGCAAAGTGTGCTTCATTTCCGCTGGTCAGAGCAATTTTCCCATGATCCTTACCTTCCCTCTGTGTTCCCACAATGCTTCCTGTCACTTTACACAAAACTGCCGAATTGCGTTCTAACTGAATGACAACAGTATGTTTGTTTCTTTTAGAACGCAATTCGGCACTTTATTCGGATCGGAATTTCATTCTAATGAATGAAACTCTGATCCTATTCATTGCTGTGGCTGCATCTTGCAGCCGCTTAGTAGATAACTCCCTAATTCCCACGGTATCAGGGAGCTATCTACTAAAAGGCTGAAAGACCTAAATTGGTCTTTCAGCCAAATTTACTAATACTAAGTAAAGATTACTTAGTATTAGTAAATTAAATGCCCCTACTCGCTATACCGCGAGTAGGGGCATGTGTAGTAAGCAGTGAGCAGCTTATATACAAAAAAAAACTAATACCCACTCCCCCCATGCCCGTGGGGGCCCTAAATAAAGATGGGGGGGAACCTGGCCCCTGGCCCCCACCCCTGAGCGGTGGGTGGGGGCCCTAATAAAACAATAAGGGGGGGGACCTACTGTCCTCCCCCACCCCTGGCCCCCACCCCTGCGCGTGGTGGGGGCCCCAGTAAAACAATATGGGAATCACTGTCCTTCCCTGGCCCCTGCACCCCCCAGCCGGGTGGGTGGGGGGCCCCTAGCAAAACAATAGGGGGGGGACCTACTGTCCCTCCCCCGCCCCCACCCCTGAGCGGTGGGTGGGGGTCCTAGTAAATAATAAGGGGACCTGTCCCCGCCCTCACCCCCTGAGCCGGGTGGGTGGGGGGCCCCAGTAAAACAATAAGGGGGGGAACCCAACAACCCTCCCCCGCCCCACCCCTGAGCCGTGGGTGGGGGCCCCACAAACAATAGGGGGGACTCCACTGTCCTCCACACCCCCATGGGTGGGGGCCCTAGTAGTGTCATCGGGGACGACCTACTGGTCCCCCGGTTCCCCACCCCCGAGCCGCGGGTGGGGGCCCCAGTAACACACAAGGGGGACCTGTCCCCCCCCCGGCCCCCACCCCTGAGCGGTGGGTGGGGGCCCTAATAAATCAATTGAAAGCCACCCAATCAGAGTGTTATGAGTCATTTTACACAGCGTGGTAAAATTCAAAAGAACTTTCCCACGCTGTGTAAAATGACTCAGAGCACTCTGATTGGCTTAAACCCACCAATCAGAGTGTTCTAAGCCTAATTGCAGGGCGGGGCAAGGCTTTATAAGCCTTGACCCGCCCTGCGGAGCTCAGTCTGCGGCGTGCCCTCGAAGGGCGAACTTGGATTAATTTTTTTTTGCGCTCGTTTTTTTTTTTTTTTTAAATGCGACGGGTGTAATGGATTTTTATTTGGCCTTTTTGGGGGCTGAAGAAAGATTTTAGAAAAAAGAAGACGTCAAATGGTAAGTTTAATTTTTTTTTTTTTACAGGTTAGTTATTTTATTCCCCCCCTCACTATTTGTAGGGTGAGGGGGGTAGGTAGGGGATAGGTTTTTTTGGGTGGGGGGGGTGGTGACTAGGGGCTTGGGACCCCTAGTCACCTTGATTGGAGGGGGGGGGGGGGTTTCATTTGGGGCCCCCCCCCACCTGGCGCTCAGGTGGGGGCGGGGAGGTTAGTAGGTCCCCCTTGTGTTTAATGGGGCCCCACCCCGCAGCTCAGGAGGTGGGGGCGGGGACAGTGGGTCCCCCACTTATTGTTTACTAGGGCCCCCACCCACACGGCTCAGGGGTGGGGGCGGGGAGAGGTGGGTCCCCCTTGTTATTTTACTGGGGCCCCACCCACCTGGGGTGGGGCCGGGAAGAGGACAGTGGGTCCCCTTGTTGTTTTACTAGGGCCCCCCACTTACCCGGCGGGGGTGGGGCTGGGGATAGGTCCCCCCTTGTTGTTCATTAGGGCCCCACCCACGCTCAGGGGGTGCAGGGGCGGAGAGGGAGGTTTATATTGTTTATTAGGGCCCCCACCCGCAGCTCGGGGTGGGGGCGGAGAGGACAGTGGGTCCCCTTGTTAGGGCCCCACCCGCAGCGCGGAGGTGGGGCGAGAGTGAGGAGGACAGTGGGTCCCCTTGTATTTTACAAGGGCCCCCACCCACCGCGCAGGGGTGGGGGCCAGGGGGGGGACAGAAGTTCCCCCCCCATATCTTTATTTAGGGCCCCCACCCACCCACCGCTCAGGGGTGGGGGCCGGGGGGGAGGACAGGAGGTCCCCCCCCCTTATTGTTTTATTAGGGCCCCCACCCACCGCTCAGGGGTGGGGGCCAGGGGGGGAGGACAGTAGGTCCCCCCCCCTTATTGTTTTATTGGGGCCCCCACCCACCGCTCAGGGGTGGGGGCCGGGGGGAGGACAGTAGGTCCCCCCCCCATTATCTTTATGGCCCCCACCCGCCGCTCAGGGTGGGGGAGGGGGGGAGGACAATAGGTCCGCCCCCCCTTATTGTAATTTATGTCTTTTTTTTTCAACAGTGAGCAGCCACAGGCTGCTCACTGTTTAGTAGACATGCCCCTACTCGCGGTATAGTGAGTAGGGGCATTTGGGAGATTTAAATCTCTCTTGTGCTATTATGGGGGTCATATTGACCCCCATAGAGTGAGAGGGGGTACTGGGGGGCTTATGAAGTGGTGGGGAGCACTGCTCCCTGCCGCTTCTATAGTTACATATTACAAGGAGGGAGCTGCACGCCGGTAGCTCCCTCCTTGTAATAAACTGCACGAACAAACATACACTGATACTCAGATACACTGATACATTGTGTTTGTTTGTTCGGCTGATATTTCTATTCACTCATTCGTCTGTCTGATGAATGAATGAATAGCTGAAATTCCCGTTCGCATGTCCAGGTGTTTCACTGGGCATGTGCGGGAATCTCAGTGTCTGCCTAGTGTGGGCTGATGACGTGTCCCACAGGGACTTCACCTACCCACACAAAGATGGCGGCGCCCTGAATCAAGATCGGGGCAGAAAATAAGGATTAAAAAATAGGTAATGTGGGGGGCTTAGGGGCATTTGGGGGTGACTAGTGGGTCAATTGGATGTAGTGGAGGCGGGAGGGGGGTTAAAAAAAAAAACGGGTTTCGGCATGACAGTGCCGCTTTAAGTACTTATAATGTACCAACATATTAAGCAGCGCTTTACAATAGAGGGACTATAGACAAAAAATGAACACATACTGATATAAGGAATATATTAACCTTCCCATGAGCTTACAATCTAGCAAATATAGTACTTTTAGACAAAGTGCTTATTCAGTTAAATTACAAGTATTTACTCAATGTAGTAGATTATGCTACTTGGTACTCTGAGTCGGTGTCATGTCATCTATGTCAGCAAAAAAATTGTTACAGCACTAATCAATATTTTTACTCAAGTGGGATTCCTGAGGGAGATCTCTAGAGATGGGAGCACACAATTTGTCCTAGAACTACTCCAGCTAATTTTGGGCGTAAAAGGGATCTGTTCTATACCACTGTCTGACTTGACTAGAGAATCCTCCGTATGATGTGAGGCAGTGATCTAACAAAGGTAAAGACAGATGGATAGATAGAAGCGTATTACAGAACCTTTAGAGTGGCCGAGCTTAATGTAATACAGAAACTAAGCAGTAACAGGACAGAACTATTAAAATACTACAGACCAGGAGAAGAACAAAAAAATAAAACACATGATGCCAGATACTGGCAGGGGTCAAATGCACAAGAAAAGCAATGTCCGGAACAAGCCAGGAACTGGTACATGGAACATGAAGTCAGACAAGAAGGAGACTGGGATACGGGTTACGGGTCAGGTAGTAAGACAAACCAGGACTGGAACACATCGGGTACAAAGCAAAAGGGCTGGGTCAGGTACAAGGGCAGGACAGCAAAATGTAGTCAGTTAACTTGGGTCACAATAACAGCGAAACAAGATCATAAACAATATCTAAAGGATTCTGTATCCATGAAAGAGCCCAGATCAGACAGATTTGGAGGTCTTTTACCTGACTGTCTCAAGTCAGAAAGATACCACCTGTAATAATCACAGGTGCCCTTCAAAAAGTGATTAGATATAATCATGCATATATATATATATATATATATATAAAAACAACCATCTGAAATTGCCAGGGGTTCAAGTCCTACCAGAAGTAGATTTCTTTACAACCACCCACAAACGACCTCTGCAAGCACTTTAATGAAACCCTGGAAAGTATTATTAAGGTTGTTATAGACATGTAGGCCTATTAGGAAATGTATGTATCACTACTGATTGCCTGCAAAGAAATTCCTCTGAGGTTTTCTTGTGAAATTCCTAAGGAGTATTGAAAAGTATGAAAATACGTGTGAGGTCCTCTAGATTTGCTTCAGTAATATTGGAAGGAGAGAGCTCCTAGGGAGAAAGCTGCTATGCTCCCTTATGTACTTCAAGAGAAATTCAAATCTCCTGGTAGAGTAGGTGAGTATAATGTGCAGCACAAACCAAGCATAATGTCTGGTCTGACTGAAATGGTCAACGTTTCAGGCTGGTCAGAATATCTAAGCCCTAGTACCAAATCTCCAGAATAAGCTCAATTGTCAGGCACCTAGACTGTTAGTCAGCAGGTTAAAATAACAATTTATGTGACAAGTGTTGAGAAAGGGTTAATAGATCATGCTATCTGCTCAAATAGCTGCAGCAAAGTCTGTCTCCCTGGGTCACATCAACATATTAAAGTTGTATTTGGACTGCCTTAAGGACGAAGGCAATTGTACAAGCTCAGATCAAAACAACACCAAAACAAAA